CAAATGACACAGACGGAAACCTGCAGACTCTGGCAACCCTGCGCATGGGCAACGGTGCCCAATGTCTCGCAGGCCACACCTAGCCCCCGCATGGAGCCCACACTGCTGGCTGCCCACCTCTGCGCTAACCCACAGCCCAGCGCCACGGAAAGGGAAAAGATGGCCTGGCCGTGTCAGCGCCATCGCTCAGCTGGGACCAGAGACCTGATTTGTGCCCAGCACTCTTGCAGAGTTCCCGGCCTTTTAGAGCTTTGGTTTTCATCCTGCACCCATGGAAATGCTGGCTCAGGAAAGTCTATGGCACTAAACCAACGGGCCATGCTCCCGATCTAAAACCAGCTGGTGTAAATCCAGAGCCATTTCCATGAACTCAAGGGCATGACTCTGGATTGACACCAGCAACGCCGAGGCCGGAACGCGGCCTGGTTATTGATGATACCTCACACATCTGCTGGGACGTCAATCAGCGTTCATGCTGCATTACATGTAGGTAAACTGAGGCACAGAAGTACGGGCCCAGTCTAATGCCTAAAGAAGTGAATGGAATGACTCTAGCAAAGGTGTAGCCCACACGCTTGGTGGCATGTTAGTTTGAGTGAAACAAAACGCCACCAGGGCCCTGATCCCCAGCAGATACTGGTCCCTCAGCATCCACAAACCTGTTTTGGTGTCCAGTCACAGCTGCAAAGCAGCCCCACAGCCTGCAGGGAGACGTCTTCCTGGGGTGGGGGTCCTACGGAGCAGAGAGGACTCCTGCACAGCTAGGTCTGTGTGTTTGCATCGCTGCGAGGCTCTGACGCCAGCGCTGTGCTGTACATCGGCAAGGCCAGCCCCTGCCCCGTGCACGAACGGCCTTGCCCACAGCGAGGCGCACGTTCTGGGGCTGGGCAGGCATTCCCAGGGGCCTTTGCACGCAGGCGCATGGCTTTAGCCCTCAGTTGCATTTGGGGAACCCAAAGAAACCACACTCTTGCGCCCCCCCCGCCAGAGGAGCTGCATTTCAAGCGAGGCCCTGGGCGGAACGGCCCTCTGTTCACAGCCATTGGCCGAGGCAGCGGCCAGCGCTTAAACGCCCCTTTCAGGACCGTTCGTTCGAAACTAGGCCCAGCGCGCTCAGCCCCGTTGAAAGCCGTGATGCCAAACAGAGCGAAGGCCCCGTCGCTGTGAGACGGCTGCGTCCCCACCGAAACACCCACCCACTGGGCACGCACCTAAGCTTTTGCAAAGCTGCTGTTGTCTCTAACTCTCCCCCTCCGCACACTGGCTTCATGCAGTTGCTGCAGGTCATACAAGCAGGCAGGCGAGGGCCTAACCAGCGTTCCCTGTAAGCTGGGCACTTGGGCAGCTGCTCGGGAGAAGTTCTTATGCTGCCCCGCTGACGAGCAGCGCGCCCACAGCTAGGGCTTTGTTTCCACTGGTGGTGCACATTGGCAAATGCTTTGGTGCACATAATTTATTCCACACATGAATGGAAAAGATTAGGGGGAACACTGGGCTGAATGAGAGGCAGCACTTCTAAGGCATTCTGGTGAAACCTGCAGCGGGTGATCATTTTGGAACCTCCTGTGCCAAGCCGGTGTGGGGACACGAGTGAGGTAACTGGCCAAGCAGCCCACAGAGCAGCGAGGCATGCTACTGCTCTGCAACGTACCCAGCACGTCAGCCAATCGCATTACTAGATTTGATGGCCAGCCGAGCCCATGGTGGTTATCCTCGCGCCAGCGGCCATGGGGTTTCCTTCGCATCCTTCCTCCTGGATCTTGTTTGATCCCGTTATCACGTCGTATTTCTTATTATTATTGAGGCCTGCTGACAAGGAATGCAAAGGGGCAATTGCCCGGGGGCCCGGTGACTCCAAAGGGCCCCGGGCCCCTGGCCACGGCCGCTACCGACAGCCGGAGCCCTAGATCCTTCATGCCGCTGCCGGAGCACCGTGCAGCGCACGCTGGGCGGCTCTGAAGGCTGCCTGGGGGTGAGGCCCGGTGCCATGTACTCCAGGCAGCATGGCCCTGCCTCCTCTGCCTGCGGCTCTGCCCCTTCTGCGGTCGGGGCCCTATTGTGAGAGGCAGGGCACAGAGCTGCCGCCAGGATGGCTTGGCCCAGGCTTTGTACCGACTCGGAAGGAAGGCGACATCCTTAGGTCAGCACAATCCCCCCGGGCTGATGGAGCCACCCGCTAGAGAGACGCCCCTTAGGGAATCATGTGAAAAGGGGAATTACTGATTTGACTGACAGCACAGCCAGTCAGGGTCCGCCCAAAGGTCCCGCCAATGCCAGACGCCCCAGGGGGAGCGCGCAGAACAGGGAATCAAGTGACCCCTGCCCTGTGGCCCATTCCCAAACGAGGCCAGGGACACGCCCCGGCCCAGCCTGGCTAGGAGAGGCTACCAGGCTCCCTTGGTTTCTGTTGATTCAGTTCAATCGCTGGGAGATCTGAGCAGCCCCCCAGACAGGCCTCGCCTGGAAGAACTTGCAGGCTAAATAGCCAGACACGGAAGTAGAATTATTCCCATTCACTAGTCTGCAGCAGATGAAGGAACCGAGAGCAGGTTTCCTGAGGTCCCAGCACGGTGCTTTACCCCTCCCCCGGGTGTGTGAGTACAAAGGCTGGCTGCCGACGGTACCCACGTGCCCATCGCCCAGAGTCGTCAGTGGCACACAGCCGCCACGGCTTGGAACGGGGCAAGGACGCACTACCCAGGTGCGATTGGAGCCCCCACTAACGGGTGGGGGGAGAGCTGCACAGCAGAGATTCCAATGCCCCCCGCACAGATTAGCAGAGTACCTACAGCTAGGTTTGCGTTTTTCCTTGTGGTGCACATTTGCACGTGCTGCAGTACAAAAAATTTATTCCACACATGGATGGAAAAGATTAGCGGGACCATTGCCTGGGTGTCATTTAATTTTGCACACAGAGCTGACTGTTTACCTGTTAATTCCCTGGCAGTAGCAGGGAAATCCAGCTGAGGTGTTCCCTCATGCCAGAGAAACCCACGGAGCCTTGGCGGGGTTGCCAGCTCAGCGAACACACAAGACTGTAAATTAAAGTGTCGTGTTGATCTGGGAATCTTCCTCTTGGCTCAGTCTCCCCATGTCACACGCATGGGAGCGACATCGTTGGCCCCGTGCCCTACAGTCGATACTTGTCTGCAGCCAGTGCTGGAAACTGAAAGCAAGTGCAACATCAAAGGGGCAGGGCAGGGCAGGTGGGAATAATCCTTCTCGCTGCGGTGCCTTTGCCTGGGAGCGACGGGAGCGCTGGGTGGGTGTCATTGGGAAAGCAGAGGCAAGCCAGGAAGCGCAAACCCCACCCTCCCACGGCTAGGCACACACCCCTGCTGCAGGTGGGCCCAGACAGCTGCCCTGCTGGCTCACACCCCACAGCTTGAACCAGGGACCTGCAGGGATAAAGGCAGGCCCAGATACAGCCGAGCTAACGCTGGCAGCGCTAAGGGACCCTCACCCCCTCTGGGTCGGCATGCGGGGGGCCTGCGCTACGCTCCCAGGCACAGGTGGGCTTGGCCGCCTCTCTTCACAGCTGCTCTGCCTTCCTCATTTCCTCTGCTGGTTTCTCACTGTAGAGCTGGAAAATCCAGAACCTCGCACACTTAGCGGCAGCGAGTCCTTCCGTAGCAGCTCAGGAGACGTGCTCTGGGCTGAGCCGTGCAGGGCAGCAGAGGCTGGCACGGGCTGCCGGCTTCCCAGCCTCCGCCAGGGTTGCCAGGTGTC